AAGTAATATTGATTTACTGATTCAAAAAAGTTTTCACAAAGCTTTACATCAATTGGCAATATTCTATTTACTTTATAGTAAGTATACAGTAACTATAATTACATATGAAGAATATATAATAGGTAATAGGATGCATTATAAAGCTCCTCTAGACTCAAAAGTCTTATATAATGTATATGATTGAGTAAACAAAATAATTGCTTGAATTTGTTAAAGGAAATTGAATAACATGTAAGACATACAAATGTTAAACTGTTTTATGATAATATTGTTTTAGTTATTTATCTAAATATCAAATTTCATAATAGTTGTAAGTCCTATTATTATTATCATATTTAATTATCTCATTTTACTATTATCAAACCAAAATCATCTTACTTGGATTTTAAAAAATCTTTTAATATTCTTTAATCTCAATCTTAACTGTTCAAAAAATTAAATAAAGATATGATTATCTATAAGACTAAAAATCTATAAATAATTAATCAGGTAAATTATACTGAACAGTTTATGTATTTTTGAACAAATTATATTTTTGTATATTACTAATACAGATTTCTACATTTTAATCAAATATAAGAAAAATGTTATTTTAAAAGTACAGTTTTGCCAATAACTTATATTTTTAAATAAACCTAACATTTTTACAACCTTAGTTTAAAACAAAATCATCTACCAAAATGCAAGCAAAATTTAAGAAATATATAACATTTTAATTGAAATATTGTAATGATGAGCTAACTTTGAAAGAATTATTATTATTATGATAGCTAATAAAAAGTGATTCTATTTAGTTACAGATATACAGAAACCTTTGGAAACAACTAATAAGTACAGTCTATGCAAAAGACTAATATTTGTTATACCAGAATCAGTTTAAAATATCAACGAGATAATAAATTACAAATCTCTAATAGTATTACTCAGAATACAACATTGTCAGTAATATTAATTTAATTAGAAATACAAGGGATTTATTATCTTTAGTAGTAATTACTTAAAAGATTAAGTTTAATTTTTTATTTGTTTTAATTTTTATTACTTTTATTATTTTATTAACTTATTTATTAGAATTATTTGTGTTATTTTAGATCTGAACTTATAAAATAAATCTTTGAGAAGAATGGAATTTAACTCATAATATTTAATTTAAATATTAGTGTTAAATATAGTAAACAAAAAACTTGCAGAATACTTATTTTTAATTGTTATAGTATTTGTGTAAAATACAAGAGAATAGTAAATAAGATATACATAAACTATATACATTAAAGATTATGAATTTGTAAAATATGGTAGATTTATTATATTTACTTTTTGTAATTATTAAAATTTTCTAAATAATATAATCTATTAAAAATACAAAAAATTTTGCAAATCTAAAGATATAAATATCTTATTTATATTAATTAAATTTAGAATTAACTTTATATACTATTATATTTGTAATCAGTATTTTGTACTCCTTATTACAAAATATTTTATATTATAATATCTTTTATTTATAGTATTTTACTATTTAAAATACTTGTATTTCATAAAATATCTACAGGTATTATTCAATTTTTAAATCAAGTATTTTGTAAAATACTTGAAATATTTTATGTAATATTAGATAGTAATTGAGTTATTAGTATAATAGATATGCTAATAACATTGTGAAATAACTTTAATGCTATTTTTATTTATTTAGTTTCTTAAATAAAATTGTGAGTTATAATAGTAATTTAAAAATCAATAATTTGATTATATCAATTCAGATTCAAAATAATTGCCAAATTTTTTAAAACACATTTTTTTCTCATATATTTTTTTATACATTTTTTTATATATCACTTACTTTATTTTTAATAAATAATTTTTAATGATTTAATAAATTTCTAATTAAAAATATCACAATAAATAATAAAATTTTCACATCTATTGACTTAACTAAAACCATTTCCTTATCTATACTACAATCTAATTTATTATATACTTCTTTTGGATATAGTCTTCATAATCATAATAATAATAAAAAATTATAATATACTAAAATAAAAAAAATAAAAATTCTGATTATTTAAAAAAAATTTAACTTTTAAATCATTTTATTAAATAAATGATCTTAGTTAGAATATTAAATTATTAATAATAAAAATTTTATATTTTATACTATTTGTTAAAAAGCAAAAGATAATAATTTATAGATAATATCAAGGTATAATACTATAAAATTAAATTTTTTAAAAGACATAAAAATTCAATTAAATACAAAAATTCTTTAAAAATTTTTAGTCTAAATTAAACTAGTACTAAAGAAAGTAGAAATTAAATATTAAAATAAATATAAATTGTATAATTATTCAAATATATAATATTTACTTATTTATTTCACAAATATTGCTATTAATATTTATCTAATTTAGCTAATTTAGTTAATTATTAAAAAAAATATCCTACTTCTATAATTAATAATATTTTTTTACAAGTACTTTAATTATTAACTTTATCACAATTTAATTAATAAAAAACATTTAGATTTAATTATATAACATATACAAATAAAGTTAGTAAATATAAATTTTTAATATCTTTTAATATGTCTAATTGAAGAAGCAGTAATTAATAAAATAAAATCATTATTATATTAGAGTTTATTAGTAGATAAAAGTAATATAGTATTAATAAGCAAAAAAAATATTAGTTTTAGTTTCAAAATATATAGTTAATAATATTTTAATTTTATATTATTTAAGAATTAATATAATATCAGATACTTTTACAGAATAATTACTAAAGTAATTGATTCATTTATTTTATAAAAATATTATCTGCAAATAAATTATATTATTTAAAAAGTAATAAAGTATTAAATATGATAGATTTATATTTAATTAATAATTTATAATATATTAATTAGTTATTAATTATTTATAGGAGTTAAAAATAGATTAGCTATTTTATTAAAAAAAAAGAAATCCTTACTTGTCTTTGAATTATTGTATTACACATCAATTATATTTAATAGTTAAAGATATTGTAAAAAAAGTTTTTATTTTAATAGTTATAAGAAATTGTTAAATCTTTTTACACTTTTTTTTAATTCTTATAAATGAATGTATAAATTAAAATTAATACAAGAAAATAGTAAAATTCTAATTTAACAATTTAAATATTATTAATATAAAATGATTTTCTTAAGCAATAGTTATTAATAATTTCTATTAAATTATTAATAATATTCATTTGACATTAATTCAACAAAAAGAAATATATTTAATAGATAATTTTTTACATCAAATACTTATAACAGAATTTTATATTTTTACAAAATATTTAGCTGATATTTTTCAACTTTAAGATCTATGATTTTAGTTTTTCAATCAAATTATATATCTTTAGCTGAAATATGTTAATAATTGTCAATAACAATTAAATTTATAATATCAGATTTTATTAAAAGTGAAAATTTTTTATCAAATTATAGTATTTATTTAGTTAATTATATTATCAAATATAATTTATTAGGTAATAATTTATTGGATAAGTTAATTTATTTTTAATTTTAATAGTTATATAATATAATAATTTATTTTTTTATTTTATACTTTTATAGTTATTATTAATCAATTTGCATAAGAAATTATTAAAAGTTTAAGAATTAGATTTTCAGATTCTGCTTTATATACTGCTCTATAATAATTACCAGATTTTATAAATTTTACTTAATAATATATAGTAAATTGAAGATCTTTAGATACATAAAAGTTTATGAATTTTTAATAAAATTCACTTCAAATTTTTTTATTTAATAACCAATCAATTATAATTTTAAAAATATAATTCAAAAATATTCTATTTATAAAATACTGAAAAATACTCATTTATAAAGTAATAGATAATACAATTTTATATATAAAAATGAAAAAAAAATATATATATATAAATTATTGCTTATACTTTAATGAGAAATTTTTCATGTTCTAAATAAAAATTTTCTTTTTTCATTTTAATATTTAAAAATTATAATTGATTAGCTATCAAATAAAAAAAATCAAATAATTTTTATTGAAAATTTATAAACTTTTATGCAACCTGAAGATCTTCAATTTTACTATATATTACTAAGTAAAATTTATAAAATATGATAATTTATTGTAAGGTAGTATATTATTTAATGAGAACTTTAAATCTAAGTAAAGCTTCTAATAATTGTGATAGATTAAATACTTATAAAAAAATGAATCAAAACTTTAATAGAATTTTATGAAAAAGCTGAAAAAAATGAAAGTAATACTATATGTAAAGCTGTATTAGATAAAAATACTCTAATTAGAAAATAAAGAATAGCTTATGATATTATTTGTGATTACAAAGATTTCAATTTATTGAAGCATAATATCATAGTTTTAATAATAATATTAATTTTCATAATCAATTTTCTAACTTTTTGAATTAGCTTTAATAATTCAATTATTAAATAATATTATTGAATATGTATTTTATAATTACTAGCTAATTCATTTTTGTAATAATTAACATATTGTGCACATATTAAATTATTTTGTGCACATATGATGTCATAAAAATGTGCACGTTTTGCACATAATTTTTGGTTTAGATTTTACACATAAAAGTTAGTCTCTAATCAAAAAACGAATTATTTGTGTCACAAACAAATTTATGGGTTGGTTCGGAAAAACTAGTGTAAATCCCGTGACCAATATATTATTTATTATTTGTACTGGCGACGATTCTCCTTTATCTCAAAAGACCTTAGTTCTCTCACAAATTTTTCACCAAGTCCTCTGTTAGTAATATAATTTTGTACAACTACGGTTTTTTAAATAAATATTTATATAACAGACAGAATTTATTATGTCCAAAATTAACTTCTATTTATGAATACAGGTTACTGGGTTCACGATAGAAAACATTCATTTTTTCGGTATGCATCCACACTTTTGATCGTTTATTATAACTTATATTTAATTTATATTAATGGAAAAATTATAGTTATGGATAATCTGGATCATAAAGATGTTTCTGTGCAAATATCATTGCAAAATGCACTTCGAATAATTAAAAAGAGGGCAAGGCAAAATGAAGGTTCAAATGATCCAAGTCCTGAACGAAGGATTGCTGAAGTGGATCAGATATCGAAAGATAAATTAAAGGAAAAGAGGAGACGTGTAAGAAATAGAAAAAAGGAAAAAAAAAGATTACTCAAATTAAGCACCCAAGTTCCATTACCACATTTTCATCATCAACTTCCTCCAAACTTATTTCAATCTCTACCACATGAAAGGTTTGAATCAAGGCCACATGCTACTAGAAGCGATTATAGCGTTGATAGCAGAAATGATGATTATTTTGAACGAGAACCAAACTTTAGAGATCGTAGAAATGATGATTATTTTGAACGAGAACCAAACTTTAGAGATCGCAGAAATGATGATTATATTGTACGAGAACCAAACTTTAGAGATCGCAGAAATGATTACATTGTAAGAGAACCAACCTTTAGAGATCGTAGAAATGATGATTATATTTTACAAGAACCAAATGTCAGAGATCGCAGAGATGATGGTTATGTTGTACGAGAACCAAAATTTAGAGATCGCAGAAATGATGATTATATTGCAAGAGAACCAAAATTTAAAGGTCGCAGAAATGATGATTATAATGCAAGAGATCCAAACAGAAATCAACGGCTTTCAGTGACATCAGATATTAGTGTACAACAGATTATTACAACCTATGCTTCATCATCATATTTAGAGATGGCAAACGTTGCCTCTGTTAAATTGGAAAAGTCGTCACAAAAACTTCTGGTATTAGATTTGAATGGAACATTAGTGTTCAGGGATTACAAAAAGAGTATTGAAATACGTCCACATATGGAAAAATTCTTGCGATATATCTTCGAATCAAATAGCTTTATTGTAATGGTATGGTCATCAGCTCAACCCTATAATGTCCGTAAAATGGTTAATGCAGCATTTGGTCACTATGCAGAACGGTTAGCTGCAATATGGACGAGGAAAGAGTTTAATTTGTCCCTCGAAGATTATCAAAAAAAAGTCGAAACGATTAAAGATCTGGAAGTAGTATGGAAAGATTTTAACAGTAAAACATCAACCACTTCATCTCAAATTGTATGGGATCAAACCAACACAATTTTGATGGATGATTCCACCACGAAATCAAGATTACAACCTTTTAATGCCATTCATTTGCCTGAATTTGAAATTATGAGATATAAAAGTAGGAATGATAATGATCTGAGTAATGTTATCGAATATTTAATGAGGCTACATAAACAAAGTAATGTTAGTTCTTATATCAAAGAAAATCCTTACATCCCTTATGACAATAAAACTTCCATTGTTATTAAAAACGAGGACGGAAATAACAGTAGCTTTTTAAACTATGGCAAAAACAAGAAACAAAGAATGACATAGCGAATCGTGTACAAAATTTCTTTAATTCAAAGGTAAATTATTTATAAAATTTAAATCAATTACTTAATTATAATTATATTGGCTGACTTAAAAATATAAATAGACGGATATCATTCATCAGCGGGTAAAATGAATTTCTCTAAATGAAGTTATATAAATTTATGTATTCAGTATTAAAAACTTGAAGGTAGTTTGAGAATTGGGTTTCCTTTTTTTTTTTTTTATATAATGTTAAATCATCCTTACTATTAATAAATTTTGAGTTGTTAGTATATTCCTTCCATTCCTTTAAAGGAATATTTTTAGGTTGAAAGTGATTAGATATTATTCGCGTGTTTAATATCCTGCGAAAATACTTTCTTAAAGAATACATGAACTGTGAACACTTGATATCTTAATATATTTTATAGTATTATTATTACTCACATACTTCAGATTTCTATTTTATCGGATATTCTCGGGAACGGATAGATTTGCTTAATTAATATATAGCAAAATTACAAATATACTAGGTGAGTGCAATTTTCGTGTAATTCATAATAGTTTAATAACAATTAAAAACTCAATCCAGACTTTTATTTCTTGTTGAGAACAATATTCAAGAAATCGCAAGACGATGAAAAATAGTCTTTTCTCGAAAACTGACTATTTTGAAGTTTTCTGTCTTCGCTGATCGTTATATCCATAAAGAATTAAAGTAACGAAGTATAATGGTTTATTTAATTTACATTATGAATGAAGCAGAAAACAAATGTTAATTATTTAGAAAATTCCAAGAATTGCTATGATTTCGTTCTTTATTTCAAATATACCAAATATACTGATACAATTAAAAAGCTTTCCCCTGATTAAAAGTGTCCATTTATTATCACTTTTACCACTATGTATCATATGTATCATTCTACTTTAATTAAAAATTAAAAAGTTGTTCAACATATAAAATATGAAAGCTCAGTTACTTATAAGGTTTTCCTGATTTTTTCTTAATTCTTTATGCTTTTGATGTTTTATTATTATATTCCTATACTTATACAATATTTGCAATCCAAAGGATATGTTTAATATATACAAAATAGTTTGGATTGCATTTATGTTTAAGTTAAACCTAAATGTTTTGCAAATCATCTAATGATAAAAAATAAATCTTAAAAAATTTTATTAAAAATCTGTAAAATTATAGATTCAGAAATCTAAACAAATTTAAATAAATAATTTTACTTTTATTAAAGATATTGAATTATTATTTCAATACAAATATTTTATTTCTTTATTCTTTTTATTTTTTTTTTTTTTAGTAATTCTTAAAATATTAAAATTTCTATAATGCAAATTTATTTATAAATCATATAATCTAAGATTTAATATAATATCATAATTTTAGATTAATTTATTATTAAATGCTATCAATTTTTTTTATTGAATTTAAATAATTGTATTACAAAATATATTTATTCAAATTTACTAATAATAAAATTAATAAATATATATTTTTTAGCTATATATTCTATTAATTTTTCTGTAATTTAATTTCTATATAATTTCAATCTTATTTTCAAATTTTTTTATTATAAATAATTATAACTTTTATGTTTATCTTTTTATTATTTTGAATATTTTTAATAAATTTAATTTATAATGAAATTTTAAATTAAAAAATATATACAGTATATAAATACTTATTAGTGTTAACGTGCAATTCTTACGAATTGTGACAGTTAGACGGAGTGTTCGAACGGTTTGTTCTTTTTAATTGAGCAGTAATCTTCCAACAGTTTAAAAGTTTTAACACAGACAGTTTATCAAAGTATTTATATTATCACGAGTTACAATTCAACAGATTGCCAGTGGTGTGTATTTGTAGATATTGTGTTTATTCACGAATAAATAATAATAGAGAAAAGAAAAGAAGAGTAATACTAAAACTAAAATGTAATGCGATAGGCCTAGTTACCTCTAAACTGTAATGTAATGTGATAGGCCTGGTTGCCTCTAAACTGTAACGTAATGTGATAGGCCTGGTTGTCTCTAAACTATAACGTAATGGGATAGGCCTGGTTGCCTCTAAACTGTAACGTAATGTGATAGGCCTGGTTGCCTCTAAACTGTAACGTAATATGATAGGCCTTCAGGATTGGTTACCTACGTCAGCTAATAATACCTCACTCACTGCTAAAACTACTCAAGCTACCTTCTCCCCCTTTTACATGAATTAACAAGTTACCTATTTATA